GGGAGATACTTACTGTTTATACTTCCCACTTTAAGACTTTAAAAACAATAAAGAGTTTTGTATTGTATCCCAAAAAGGGAAGTGGCATAAGTATACCATTATGTGAGCACCCACATTCCTAATTAAAATCGACGGTATCATTTTAGGTTAACTGTTGTCCTAGATGTTGGGTCTTTTTGCTGTTGTTATTTTTTTTGCTTTTTTTTTTGTTTTGTTTTTTTCATGATGTTGCCGTTTCATTGACATTTACCTACATTTCAATTAAGAGCAAATTTTTCTTCGACTATATAATTATTGTGTTTTAATCCCTGTATACTTTATTGGTTGTTAATTGGTATCCATATCTTTAGAAGTATCACCATTAACAGCACAGCATCATAATTTTGTTATTATTGATATTTAAATATTATTCTGACTATTCCTTTACTTTGAAAATGACATAACAGTTACATACTTATACTTTCTTTCTACGGTATGTTGTCATCCGATGACGTTTACATGTATCAATTTAATGAGATTATTATGCGGATGTTTTGATTTTTCATCCGGAAATTTGAGATACTGTATTATGAATGACAGTCTGGTAATTAATTTTATTCAGCTTAGTGTAAATAATGAAGAGTGTTGATCACGATGAACGCTAAAAAATAATGTTCTATATATATGTAAATCAAAGTAAGTATTTCAATATCTTAATAAGTCTGTTCCTATGGAATGCAAATATGTGGATGATAAAACGAATTCGCAGAAGAAGTAAAGCAACTGCAATTATAAATAAATATTTTGGAATATTAAAAGTTTTTTTTTAAATATAAGAAGGTGACCTATTTAAAGGTAAAATATTTTTAATTATTAGTTTATATATGTAACGAACTCGATACGATATGTCTGTGTCTGAACTCACTAGGGACATATTTTCGCAGTTTTAGATGTTTATTTACCAAAATTCTTGTTTTATCTGATATATAACAGATTGTGGCCTATTCCCAAATCACCGACCGTGCGAGGGATGTATATCCAGTCAAGGTCGTTAAAAACTTCCATTTGACAGATGCATGACGGGTGATACATGCATAGCAGGAGACTCTTACCCTGTCGACACTCCTTTCGAAGTTTATGCGATTCCCTCAGTTTTTGTATGTGACCGTAATTTGTCTTCTTTATGAGATTTGAACACCGGTTAACTACTGTAAACTACTGTTGCCTATATAAACTAAATTTAAATATTATATTTCAACATGAATGAATATTGAATAACTGTTGAATTCGGTTCTAAACATATTCGATAAATGACAGGAAAAACAGTTCACTGGTCGAGAATATATCCGGATATTAAAAGTTGTGTCATATAAAAATAAAATTCAAAATAGGCTAGAACTAAGCAGATTACAATAAATATATAATGGGAAATAGCTGTAAAGGAACATTAAGTATAAATTTTTAATGAATTAAGCATCCAAATGAGATGTCATTTTTCATTATCAATATGAGTGATGACATTTTCTATAGAATTGAATTTCGCCCTGCTGAATGACTTGTATGTGAGGAATATTTGATTTGTAATAAACGTAGGCAAACTTTGTTTCTTTTTTATTTCAAGTTTTTTTCTATGTGTTTTTGTGGTAATATTTATGGAATGAACATCAAGGTGTAAGGTCATACTTTATATACATTATTAACATTTTCATTAAAAGTGCAGTCACGTGGTTTTTCCCGATTCTTTAAAAGTCTCTCTTGGGACCAAACTAAACATTGTCTTCAGTATACGTATAATTTTATTGCAAACCAAGAAATTGAAGGGAAAAAAATAATACGTCATTCTGACAATCCTAAAACACTTAGATGTTTATCATCATATGTTATCATTTAATTCGCTATAGCCACGAACTAATTCATTTGGGGTCGTTATTAATAAATAGTTCTTAAAGATTTCCTCCACTTTTCACAACAAAGTAATTGATGAATATATTGAATTGCAGTTCTGTTATATGATGACTTGATCCCCAAAGATATTTAACAAATCTCAATACCAATAATAAGCATGAACCTTAACAATTTATTTGTCAACTTTCCAACCTCTTCATAGAAGAGTGATTATTACGGCAGCGATAAAGTATTCATTTGTCAATCTCAACACCTCGGGGTTTAAATTAATCAGTTAAGAAAGTCTCTTCGTGCCATCATACAGGCAGTCATATTTGACAGAACCGTATCACATTAGAACATCTAATCGTGGATCGACATGAGTGGAAGATTATGCAGTCACATTAAAAACAAGAAACACACAAGACCTTTGAAAAGTTTTGTGTGATTAGCACCGTTCTTGCAAACTTGACAATAATTAGAAAGTGTTATGAATAACAATTTACTCATCATCAAAATATATAACATGTTATCCATAAAGTCGTATTAAGCAATGCAGTTCACATAGAAAATGCTTATCAAACTTCACGTAAAGGAAGCTTCTGTTAATTAAGTGGTAGAACTAATTTCGTCTGATTTTTTTTTCACAAGGGCCATTTTCGAAATCTATTTTTTTTAACCTTCCCAAAAAATTCTTCGAGGTTCTAACAACATCGTAGCTTATTTCTTATTAATTGATCAATTTATACTCGCCTGAAAATAGCTCAAAACTATAATTTTGACAGGATTTGACGAATTTGACGAATTTGTTAACAAAATATTAAAGACAAACATCTTTATCAAAAACGAAAATTCTGTTGGAAAAGAGAAAGATATCAAAGGGACATTCAAACTCATAAGTCGAAAAAAATTTGACAATGGCAGGGCAAAAAAACGGAAAACGATTAAAAGACAAACAACAGTATACAAAACACAGCATAGAAAACTTAAGTTAGGCTATATAATGTTTTTCAGGTACTAATTAATTTATTTTGGTTAGCGACGTACTTCGATGACTTTATTTTTCTAAACATGTAAAATTTGAAATTTTATATCATAATACCTTCAACAGCAATGTGTAGCGCTGAATGAATTACATTTTGAATAATGGAAATGTGAAAAACTGTTGGAAAATGTTTAAAGTATATGATAAAGACTCTCAACTTCTATATTTCCACCCTGCAAGCGAAACAAATAAAAAACGATATATAACGCCATTTTTTTAAGCAATTTGGAGAGTTGTTTTGATTGTATCTAGATACAAATGTCAATGATATGATTAAAGACATGCTAACACATTTTCTTAGCATTTGGGACAATTTCTTGCCTCACAAATGGATTGTCTTTTTTCAATCGCGGAAGCTGTTCATGTTGATATGGGTGTGTCGTCAAATTTACTTGTTTTCCATTATCCATATACAAACCCCTTTTCCGCAAACAACTAGGGATCAAAGTTCAATTATTACCTTTAGCATCAGTTTTAAAAAAAATCTAATTTAAGAGATTGAAACAATCAGACTGATGAGAGCTCCAAATTGAGTGTCGTCCTGAATGTGCATGAAATATTTGCCAATGATTGCAAGCAGCCATTTACCATATGGAGAAATAAAAGGTGTGTCGACATGAGTAAACATCTCAATGAAAGCATGCACCACTCGTCAAATTGAGTGTCGTCCTGAATATGCATGAAATATTTGCCAATGATTGCAAGCAGCCATTTACCATATGGAGAAATAAAAGGTGTGTTGACATGAATAAATATCTCAATGAAAGCATGCACCACCCGTCAAATGGTTCAAAAGAAATTAATGAACTTGTCCGAGTCAGATACATGTGTATTGTTCCATACTTTGAACAATATTGCATTCATTCATATCACAGAATGCTAGTCTAAATGGAAATTGTCAATTTATTGCTAGTATTTGACAAGTTATAGGAGAAATATGCAACACAAAAAACTCAGAATCTAATCAAATGTTATCATGATAAAGGATGGATAAGTATAGCAAACAATAATTCACAACCCAACCTAACGGCGCATTTGTTTCATTCAACGGTTATCAATAGTTACTTCAAGCATTCAAAATCCAATCAATACCATAAAGGTCAAGATGCAATAACGATTTTTAAATGCACGTGCACTTTTAAGATACGAATTATATCAAAACATGACCTATACTATCTTATAAGTGAATTGGAGTCTATTCAATCAATGATGTCAGAACTTTCAATAATAGTCAGCGTTCTACGTCACTTTTTGATCAGTAGATGCATCATATTGTCAATTGAAAGGATTAAATTTTCCTGCAGCCATTTTTCATTTCTTTCCTACATTATAATGATGACATAATCAAAAGGTCGGATACCTTTAAACTTGATAATGATGAAATTAATATGAAACTTGTCTATATTCTCCAATTGGAAACTAAATACGATTGATCTGCGCTGATATTTTTATAAAATTAACCGAGAACAGCTAACAGTATATATTTGTGTCAGGGATATTCTGCTTTTCTCGTTACCTGAAAAAACTGAAGCGGAAATGAGAACGGTAGAAATGTTCCTTAATGAAACTTTCTTATAGCGATCAATATAACTGTCTATTTGAACTGAAGATTTATAGGAATTTAAGCATGTTAAAGTAAAGAAGATTCGTCTCTCATAGTGAGGAAATGATAGCAGTAACAATTACCTCTATGATTCATTGGCAATCTAAATAATATTCTACCTTTGGAACTATGCCGTGTCATAGTGAACTTGAAGATCGACAGTTCTTCTGAAATCTATGACACGCAATGCCGAGTCGTTAAGATTGCTATTCTAAACTAATGATAATTATTATCAACTGTTAATGACTTATTGTGTCTTACATGATTATCTAATGTCATAAGAGCGATAATTTCCTATGTAATGATTTGTATGAAAGGCGGTTTACCACTGACGATGAATTATAGGACTTATTTGGCGCCACTTTAGCATAGTGTTGATATAAGTTTTCTAATGGAGATCTATAAAGAATAGTATGATTTACAAGTGGGTACAGATGTAATTGAAGTGATTATGCAATTAATAATTAATGTACTGTTTTACCTTTGCAGAATAATTCATCGACCACGATACTATGTGAAGATGCTGGTAGATTGAGGAAAGTCCAGTCATGAATTCATCAGGAGATATTCCGAGTTCGTATCCGGATAATGCATTGTTCCAGTTTGCCTCGTGGTTTACAGGGGTGCATGGATATGTAAGCTTGATTATTTGTACGTTTGGAGTATGCACAAATATTTTCAATATAACGATCTTGTCCCGCTCGGACATGAGAAGTCCGACAAACGTCATGTTAACGTGGCTAGCAGTTTCTGATATTCTTACTATGATACCGTATATACCTTTTGCTATTCATTTCTATTGTGTCTTCGATCCTATGGATATTTCTCCAGAAAAGTTTACCAAAGCATGGACAACGTACATGCAGATACTTGTAAACTTAGCAGCTACAACGCATACTATTTCTATATGGCTCGGTGTGGCACTAGCTGTTTTCCGATTCGTCCAAATGAGAACGACTGCTACTGGACCTATAGCAAGAAAACGAAGCATGAAGCAAGCCAAAACTGTGATAATCGTTGTTTACATAGTATCAACTCTGATCCTTACTCCGAATTATGTTACAAATGAAATTGAGGAGGTTACAATGAACAATAAAACTATGTATGTTCTTAAGGATTTAAAACTTGCGTCCAATCAAACTGATACAATCGTTCTTGTAAATGTTCTTGTATATTCTATAGTGGCCAAACTTATTCCCTGTGCCCTAATGGTTGTATTTGGTGGATCCCTTCTGTATAGTTTAGCAATCAAAGGCAAAAGTAGACGGCGTAGATTATCAACTAATGGCTTAGGACAAAAGCGAGAGACTCGTCAAACCAAAACAACAAGAATGCTACTAGTTGTTATGATATTATTCTTAATTACAGAATTTCCACAAGGAGTTCTTATATTTATGAGTGCTGTTATGAAGGATTTTTACCATAATGTCTACGTACCTCTTGGTGATCTTATGGATTTCATTGCTTTAGTAAACAATGCTATAAATTTTGTACTGTATTGTTCCATGAGTCAGCAATTCAGATCTAAATTCCTCGAGATGTATCTTAGACGAACTTCTAAATTTAAGAAGATCGAAAAATTGAGTTTTACACATTCGTTTACGAAAACTTTATTTACTGATGTCCATTCTTGAAAAAAAGACATCATGATAGCCGTCTTTAAAACAATTAATTAGATTTTTTTTACATTTATAGCAAAACAATACTAAAACTTAACCGGTGTAATTTGTGATGACTGAAAAAAATATTGTTATTTAAGTTGAAATTTACCATCACGATTAAAATTAAAAAAAAACTATTACGATATCCAATACCATTATTGCCTCGTGATCCAAATGGGAATAGTATACGCAGACGTCAGACTAAATGGACTTTAATACGTCATTTCCGGTAGGTATTTTTTTATATTTTTTTTATAAAATTAATCTTTAATTTGATAATACGGTATTTATTTATGTTTATGAAGAAATAACATAAAAAATGTGGTACACACTGAATAACACACGTAGCGGGTTATTTAAAAGTGTGCACCACATTTTTGAGGTTATTTCGAATAGACAGTAAAATATTACAGTCGTTCCTTTTAATTTAATTCTAAATTCCATTTTTAAGGAGTAAATCATATTAAAAAATCGTTGATGACGTCACGGTCACATGACAAAATTATGTCTATTAGCTGATAGACAAAAAAAATTTCAGCCTATCAGAAGGAAGACGTGTTACATCCAAAATAAAATTATTGATTTATAAACACCACAAGAGAGTTGAATAATAAAGAATTAATTAAAAAGAAAAAAATAAAATAGAGAGACGAAAGGAAAAAAATGCATCGTACTAAAAATATGTGGTGACCGTTGATGGTTTGGTTTCTTTTTAAAGCGGTGTTTTACTATTTGTCATTTTTTTTATTATTGCCGTAAAGCGCATTTATTAACACCAGCCATTTTCAATGCACCACGCCAAACAGCAACCTCTTTATATATCTGTACAAATGTCATTTAAATCTACGAAAAATCATTTATAAATGATTTATTTCGGAAATCAGAACTAAATTTTGAATTAGTTTAGAAATTTATACTTTTACTTTAAATTTCATGCATATTTATTTCATGACTATTGTTGAATAATAGCATTAATCACAATAAAGTATCGAGTGGACAATTATATTACACCAGCCTGCGTGTTTAATTTATATTCTACGAGAGATAATGTTCAACAATTATCCATACAATAAGTTTTTTTACTGAATGGCAAAATTTTCAAAAGGATGAGAGTACAATGTTTACCCAGTGATTATATCGTAATTTTAATGCGATGTTACACGCAAACTCTTTGTTACTATCATACTGTTAGAGTTAATTCAATTTAAAAATGTAGCAAAACACTGTATAATAGAATAATATACAAATTTTGTCGATATATCAAAAAGTTTTATAGTTTTACTTTTTTCAACTGTACCATTGTTAGTTAAAATCTTTCATATTGTATTACTGACTGTTTATTTATTTTATTTTTCAGAAGCAAAGAAGAAGAATAAGTGTAATTGAGACTATACATTTGGCATATTGAAAATAAAACGCAGATTATTTGAATGATGGCCAATCAGCCATTCAGAACCTGGTCAAAGACATATTTAGCATAAGACGATCATTTTTGCTATAGTGATACAGGGATGTTGAAACATTTAATCCAAGAAACATGTACATGTGTTTACATTGTTATTAATAAGATTATCAATTGGTAATTAATATAAGGATATGTGGTACGAACATTTCATTCTGTAATTTTATTACTCTCATTTTTTTAATTTTCTTATTTTCTGTCTCTATATTTAATTTACATCATATATATATATATTTTTTTAAATCTGTAACAGAAAACTCAATCAGACGTCGGTATTTGTTGTTTTTTTTTTTGTTTTTTTTTTTTTTTATTGGGTTGGGTTGGAGGGGGGAGATGAAATGTTAAGTCAATTATTAATGTAATGTATGTGCAAAGATCCAGTTCCAGTCTCTGTTATATTGTTGCTGTTATATGTTGATAATTTTTCAAAGATATATATTTTACCATGGATTCATAAAATGTTGAGAAAATAACGGATCAGTAACTTATGATACAAACAACTTTGATTTTACTGGACTGCATATGCAGGAAATTGTTATGTTTTGTAGAAATAATCACTTTAATTTGTACAAAAATAAATAAATTTATAAGATATTTTACAAATTATTTCTCATAAGTTCAGTGCATTTTCTTTATATTTATTTTTCATTCGAATGAAACACCGCGACACATGTATAAAACAAATTTTGAAGAAAGGTTTTAAAATGATAACACTCAGTACAAACCGGGTTGCAAGTACACCATATATACTAAGCAAAAATATGATAAGAATATAACTAATCCAGAAAACTGTCAAAAAAAATACAATAACATGATAAAAGGTTAATAATAGATCGGATAAATCTATAAAGAACAATTGAATTAAACGTATTCAGTAGCAGAAATATGAATATACGCTGAATTATTAGATAAAATAATGAGTATCACGGGAAAGATTGAACAATAGCTGCCATTTTGTAATAAACACTTGTAGCAGTGATAGAAACCTTCAATTTGTATAAAAGTCATGTATTTGAATAAATGAATCTTTCTTGCAGAAAAACACAATGCTTTAGAAAAACAACACAATATATATACAGTGACAATAATGACAATAAATAGAAAGCAACACAATAAAGCTGTAGCAAACCCAGTCATACGATAATTGAGGGTCTAGATGGGGTTCCTCCATGTCTGTATTCTTTATTTTTAGGCCATTATTCTCTATTTTTTATATTCTAGCACCTCATTATTCTCTATTCTTTATATTTTTTGCCCATTATTCTCTATTCTGTAATCTCCCATCCACACCCTCATAATTGTGCAATTATTCTCAACATCATTTAAAATGTATACAATTTTTCGATTTAGCTATCTGAGATAGCGAGAAATAAAACCATTTATTTATTATTCGACCATTATTGATTGATTGTTGGTAGCTTAACGTCCAGTGGCAATTATTTCATGCATGATTTTTCCATACAATTCATATGACTACATTTACAAATATGACTGTCTCTGGGAGAAATGTCAAAACGACTTACTTCTTTTATATTTCTAATTGTACCACTAAGTAATTTGGTTAGTAAATGTATACATTTACTCTGAACAAGGTAGCGATTGAAATCGTTAGCGGTGCTTAATTTGTATTTGCGCTAATCGGACTTTCATTTGCGCCAGATACCATATTTAGTTTGCACCTAAATGAAATATTTCATTTACGCCAATATTATTTCTAAATAATAATTATACATAATTACAAAATGTAGTTGTATATTTTGACTATTCAGTTCATATTTTGTTTGTAAAATCTCCTCCATTCATCAGCATTGCATGCTACATCTACTCCTTGTCACTACGGAGAGGTAGAAGTAGGGTAAAGAACAATATGAGTTCCCTCAGAGTTTAATAATATGGGTAAAACATAATATCTAGAGCTTGTATTTGCATCGTAAAACTATGTAAGTACCCATCAGTTTTTACAGTGATTCTTCTTTGCATCGATAAAACTTGTCACCATTGTTTAATACACTGGATAATCTGTATGTCAGATGTGTTGTCATAAAAATACGGATTATTTTCTCAGTTGTTTCTGATTAAATTATGTCTATCTTGTCGCCTCGAAAATATGAACACTATTTAGTGTCATACCTAAGCGGATTTCAGTTATATATGAGAAATGAACAGGAACTCACTTATATACTCAGGGGACGTTCTACAAAATTTATTTAACATGGCTCGTATTTGGGATGCAAGTTACGTTGTAACTTTAATCATTATTTATAATTTCCGAATAATAAGTATATTTTACTTTTTGCAGAAAATGAAATATAACCTTGCTTGTGAAATGAAATATTGCGTTTTCAAAAAATTGACACAAATGCAATGCGCCTATTGTATGGGTAAAAATACAGAAGAGAGAGGCGAAAGATATCAAAGGGACATCCAAACTCATAAGTCGAAAATAAACTGACAACGCCATGGCCAATAAAGAAAATGACAAACAGACAAACAACAGTACACAAAATACAATATAGAAAACTAAAGACTGAGTAACACGAACCCCACCAAAAACTGGGGGTGATCTCAGGTGCTCCGGAAGAGTTCGCAGATCCTGTTCCACATGTGGCACCCGTCGTGTTGCTCATGTTAGTACACATCCGGTAATAAGTCTAATACGGTAGGTCACATTCGGGGAAAAGGGGACGGGATTGTAGTTATGACAATTGGAACATATCCGCTATCATCTGTAATACAGATATGCCATAACGGCCAACCAACACGTGATGGCGTTCGTAAAATTTACGAAGGGATGATTTCATCTTCACCACTCGGAACTCTTGGTTTAATAGCTTCCTTGTTAGCATCAAGCCTCTATCAACGAAATCATGATAGGAAATACAGGCCCTGGAATATCGTATCAACTGGGAGATATAAACTCCGTATGCAGGCGCTGCTGGAATGCTGCTACATAGAAATGGAAATTTCACAATTGGGAAGCTAGCTGAAATCATCTCTTTTGTCGTAAAGTTTTGTTTTCAACCGAACCTCATTGTCAATTTCTAGATGTAAGTCAAGATATGAGGCAGACTTAACTGTATCTGTTGTATCCTTTATCTCAAGTTCGATGGGATAGATACGTTCAACAAAGTCACCAAATTTTTAATTATTTAGTGAGAGAACATCATCTATATAGCGGAAAGTAAAGTTACAGGATACTGCTAACTTCTTTTCTTTCTTCCTAAGAAGTTCCTGTATGAAGTCAAGCCCTCACAAAAAACAGTTAAGAAGCTAAACAAAGTAGCTGAAAATCTATCTTGTAAGCAGTCTGTTGGTCTCAGGTGGATAGCTGTCTCATTGGCAATCATACGACATCTCCTTATTATTACAATGTTTAACAAAAAACTCAACTCGTTTGTAAAGTTTAAACTGTTTCATAAATCGATCCCACATGTCCATCATGTCCATCTTCCATTATAACCATATGTATTGTCATGATCTACTATTGGGCGTTGGAATCGTTTGACGAGTCATTCATGTGTAGCAGGCAATGATTAACCTGTTGACGCAGCTTATCCGAATATTAGGTGTCGCCCATTTTTGTTTGTTTTTACGTGTCGCCCATTTTTGTCTGTAAAATACATGATTAATTATACAAGTAAGATATTTCAACTTTTGTAGACTACTTATCTAACTCACTCAAAAAAACACTGGCCTCGAGTGCGAGATATCAGGGGTTCGAACCTCGACCGGGTCAAACAAAAGACTTGAAAATTGGTATTTGCTGCTACTCCGCTAAGCACACAGCATTTAGCAGTACGAGCAGAGACTGGTCGATTCGTAGTTATTTCAGAATTATGTGTCCGGGTAAGGTAACTGTCTTCATGCGGTATGTTACCTTGTGCATTGGCACAATCTGACTCAGTGTATCGGTCTAGTACAAAGCAGCATTTATAATGATAACGCATTAATATGTTCTTGTCATGAATATGTTTGCCACTGAACGTTTAACAGCCATCATCGACCCAACAAACAACACTGATCTCAAACGATTTGATTGTCTCCCATGTACTTTAGGTTTATACAGCAAGTTTCTTATGATTTCTTTCGTTTTTTTTCGAAAATATATTGTAGCCATCATGAATTATGAATCTCTTGCGACCGCTTAACGTTAATCACACAAGATTCAAACAGGATTAACTGTAAATAGATTTAACAACCCATAAACTGCTTCTCATTCCGATTACAGATCAATAGACAAGATATTATTTATTGTGACAAATGTGCGTATCAAAAATGCTAGAGTATAGCGGAATAAAAAAATGAAAATGTAGAAGGTTATCTAGAAGTCAAATCTTTGTTAATCTTGTTGATGTGAGATTATTTTCTGTTTGACTTTATGCTTTATTTGCTTTTATTTCTGATGAAACTAAAAATGTATAAGACAGATTTTCATTCCTTTTATTGGTTTGGAAAGAGATGTGTTTTAATTGTCCCATTTGATAAGCCTTTTTTGTTCTATACACTAAATACGTTGAATGTAAACTGAAGGATATTTTAGTCTGGGAAAACATGGTTTATTTATCACTTGTAGTTGGAACTGGCTTTGAATTAGCTTTAAGTAACTGCGAGTACTCTTGGATCGGTTCTTTATCTTTCGTCTTTTGGCTAGTTTTTTTCCTTTGTATGCTTCGTACTGATCTAATGAGTTAAGCCATTCCCAACTGATTTTTACACTGTGTTATTATGCAGTTACATCACTATCTAGGTTAGATGAGAGTTGAGCGCTCAAAAACATGTTTAATCCCACCACATTCTTTATGTGCCTGTCCAATGTCAGGACCTAGTAGTTCAATGATTGTTGTTGGTTGCTGTTTGTCATATTCGTTTGTTCGTTTTTTTTGGGGTTTTTTTTACAATAAATCTGGCCGTTGGTTTTCTCTTTTGAATTGTTTTAGATTGTCATGCATGGGTCTTTTATATTTAACTTTTTATATACATACGGTATGGTTTGCTCATTTTGAAGGTCGTACACTGACCTACAGTTGTTTACATCCTTCTTCATTAGTAACTTGTGGTTAGTTGTCTGATTGGCAATTGCACCACATCGCCTTTTACACTGAAAACGATAAAAATACCAATATTACCTGGAAGACTACGGCCGTTGATGAAAAGTAAAATATTGTTATATATTCAATGAAGTTTTCAATATCCCAAGAGAGATTTATTGACCTAAGATACAATTACCACGTATGAGGGTCTGAATGGGGATTATAAAATAGATAATAATAGACAAATATTGCAGAATAAAGGTTAAAAAAAATAAAGAAT